ACAAAATACTACAACACCCTCACAAAATACTACAACACGCTCACAAAATACTACAACACGCTCACAAAATACTACAACACGCTCACAAAATACTACAACACGCTACAAAATACTACAACACGCTACAAAATACTACAACACGCTACAAAATACTACAAAACGACAAGAAAATACTACAAACGACAAGAAAATACTACAAGTGGTCTCCAGCTACAAGTACTTGGGTGTACACCTGAACAACAACCTCAGCTGGAGCAACAACACCACCAGCCTGATGAAGAAAGCTCATCAGAGACTCTACTTCCTCAGGCGGCTGAGACGAGCTGGTCTGGAAGCTCAGTCCTCACCTCCTTCTACAGGTGTGCAGTGGAGAGCATCCTGTGCTCCAGCATCAACGTGTGGCATGGAGGCTGCACAGCTGCAGAAAGAAAAGCTTTGCAGAGAGTGGTGAAGGCTGCACAGAAGATGTTGGAGTCAGTCTCCCCACCATCACAGACATCTACACCTCCAGATGCAGGAAGAGGGCCACCTGCATCATGAAGGACCACACTCACCCAGCACACACACTTTTTGCCCCACTCCCCTCAGGAAGGAGGTTGAGGAGCATTAAGTGTAGTACCACTAGACTGAGGAACAGCTTCTACCCTGAGGCTGTTAGACTCATGAATCTCTAACCAGAATAATCACTGTGAAAAATCACTGTGATGACACTCGATTGTTGATCTGTGCTGCTGATCTATTTCATGCTGCTGATCTCATGCTGCCGTGTTCATTCATACTCATCTGCTCACACAGACTCATGTTCGTGCTGCTGTTGTTCGGCGTGTTTTTTTTGTTTTTGGACTCAAGTGTTTAGCACATTTCTTAGTTTATTTCTTAGATCTTATCACCGTTTTTCTTTACAATTTATATTTTTGTTGGATGTAACTGGGATCCTGTGTACATAATTTCATTCCACCTCATGTACCACATGTGAATGACAAATAGAAACTTGAACTTGTAAAGCTCCAAGTCACAAAAGAAGTCGTCTCAGGGGATTGAAACAAAAATTACAAAATAAAGGACAATCTGTCAGATCAGAGTTTACTGCAACACGAATCACTGAGAATAAACACGTAGTACAAAACAAATACACACGTAGTACAAAACTAAAAATGTAGTACAAAACAAATAAACACGTAATACAAAACTAAAAATGTAGTACAAAACAAATAAACACGTAGTACAAAACAAATAAACACGTACTACAAAACAAATAAACACGTAGTACAAAACAAATAAACACGTAGTACAAAACTAAAAATGTAGTACAAAACAAATAAACACGTAGTACAAAACAAATAAACACGTACTACAAAACAAATAAACACGTAGTACAAAACTAAAAGTGTAGTACAAAACAAATTAAAACAACAAACACGTAGTACAAAACAAATTAAAACAACATGTAGTACAAAACAAATAAACATGTAGTACAAAACTAAAAATGTAGTACAAAACAAATTAAAACAACACGTAGTACAAAACAAATAAACATGTAGTACAAAACTAAAAATGTAGTACAAAACAAATAAAAACAACAACAGCTGCCTCTGATCAACATTTGTTGACTTCAAAACAACCGTAGGTCCAACACTGCAGGACCTGCAGCCTGAGCTGCTTAAGGTTCAGCTGATCTGCACGTAGCAGCATGTAAATGATGCACAAACAAATAAACAAACAAACAAACACACGCAGACACACACATGTGCACGCACACACACACGTGATCCAAACAGGAAGGAATAAGTCACCAACAAAGAGCGTCTGTGTCCTGGAGGGCCACCATCCTGCAGGTTTCAGTAGTTCCTCTGATCCTCAGCAGGTCTTCAGGTTCTGCAGAAGCTCAGGTGCTCATCAGGTGCTCATCAGGTGCTCATCAGGTGAGTCCGAGCAGAGGAACAAACCTGCAGGATGGTGGCCCTCCAGGACACGGACGCTCTTTGTTGGTGACTTATTCCTTCCTGTTTGGATCACGTGTGTGTGCGTGCGTGTTTGTTCCTCTGCTCGGACTCACCTGATGAGCACCTGAGCTTCTGCAGAACCTGAAGACCTGCTGAGGATCAGAGGAACTACTGAAACCTGCAGGGTGGTGGCCCTCCAGGACCAGGAACTGGACCAGGACTGGACACCTCTGGACTAAGCTATGGTTCTTAAAGACCAGATCAGCCGGTGAGATTTGTCCAATGACGTTAGAACACCCCGAGGTCTGGCAGCCGTTTGTGGTGGAACTTCTTCATCATTTGGGCCGAGACACTCAGCCTTAGAGATCTGGTGAGCAGCTCCGTAATCCGGGGGAGCTGCTCCTCTGTGTCTAAAGGAGTCAGCTGAGGAGGTTCATCTGATCAGGACGCCTCCCTTCAGAGGTTTTCTGGGTGGAGGACCCAGGTCAGACCCAGAACTCCCTAGAGGAATTATAGATCCTCTCTGATCTGGGAACACCTCGGGGTCTCTGGGGACAGGGAGGTCCGGGGACAGCGTGAGGCCCACAGAAGACCCCTCAGAGAACTCCATCTGCCTGAAGAGTCAACGTTGGAGCGAGGAAACCAACGCCCGGCGCTCGTCCCTTCAGAGACGATTATTCTCGATAATTCACCGCCCAAACGCGTCGCAGGCTTGGACCGTCGTCCTGACTGATCGAAGCATCCGAACCCACGACAGAAAGACAGACGAGACGTTTGGACTTCCTGTCCGCCGGAACCCACGACAGAAAGACAGACGAGACGTTTGGACTTCCTGTCCGCCGGGGACGTTTTGGATCCAACGCTCACGAGACCGTGACTTCAAATCAGCCCCAACTCTCACAAAGAGACTTAAATAAATTAAATTATGATCTTTGGGAGGATCCATTCTTAACGGTGAATTACCAATATTTACATTTTCCATCTGTCAACAGTTTGGAAACAAACAAACAAACAAACAAACAAACAGACCCAAAACATCAAAGAAGACGAGAAAAAAGATCAAAGAACTACAAAACAATCAAATCAGAAAAAGGATCAAAGCAGAAACAAAACAAGCGAAACAAGGAACAGACGACAACAACAACAACAACAACAACAACAACAACAACAACAACACAAAGGTGAGGGGAGTGGTGGTACAGAGGTTAGAGAAGGTGGGCCTGTGATCAGAAGGTCGCCGGTTCGATTCCCCGGACAGATATTATGAAAATGTGGGTGAAGGTGAAGCACCCACACCTGCCTCCACCCTCATGTGCCCCACTCTGGGCCCTTGATCAAGGCCCTAACCCCCACCACCTGCTCCCAAACAGGTCTCTCTTGAAAATGAGTTATCGTGACTCAACGAGACTACCTGTATTTAAACAAACAAACAAACAAACAAACAAACTAAATTATCGAACTTTAAACTCTGGGTTACGTTAAAAAGCTAAACATGAAACGGTTTAACCTCAAACAGGTTCAGTGTGGGGGGGGGTTCTCGGAGCCCAGACCCCTCAGACCCTGTCCTCCTCCGACCTTTGACCTCTGCTTCCTGTCTCTCACTGAAGCTGCTGAACCAAAAGAGTTTCACAAGCAGCTCCGAGCACGAGGAAGTGTTGGTCTCTCTTCCTCTTTCTGAAAACAAGTCCCCAGATCCGGTCCAGACCTGGTCCTCCTGCAGGAGAAGCCACCTCCTCGCACGAGACCCTCAGCTGGACCTCCTCACCTGAGACCTTCAGGTCCTCTGAGCAGGAAGTGAGGCAGGTGAAGAAAACCAAACTGGTCTGACCTTGTTGGCTTTTAATTTGACTTTATGTCTTTTAAAAGGCCCAGTGTGTGCGCGTGCACGCGCGCGCTCACCTCCTCCAGGTCGGCCACGGTGCTCCTGCAGTGGGACATCCGGGTGGTGAAGCTGGACGTGGTGGGGGCTTTGTAGTCCTCACTGGTCTCCTCCACGAACTCCGTGACGCTGATGGACTCCGGCATGATGACGAGTCCAAAACAAACAAACAAACAAACAAACAAACAAACTCCGAGAGCAGCCCGCAGGTGGAGCCGCCACACCTGGCAAGAACCTGATCCGGAACCAGAGACCCGCAGGGCTCTCCTCACAGCGCGCGACCGGAAACACGTCCTGAACCCGTCAGAGTCCGGTTCGGAGGAAACCCGGAGTCCATGTCCCGGACCGAGTCCCGGTGCTGCTGTCTCACCTGAGGAAGAACCGAGCCGGGTGGACAGAGAGAGGAAGAGGAAGACAGACGGCTCACTCTGCCACAAATTCCAGGAACCAAACTCACCAACTGACCACGCCCACTGCTCTGACGTCACGACTAAGCAGGACGTGCTGAGGGTTATGAACGGGTTTCTGTCAGAGACGGCTCCTCAGTGTTTGATGACTCTCAGCTACACTGACTCTTCTCATGTTGATTGGCTGTGGCAGCCATCTTGAATCAGTTGTACCACAAGGCTCAGTCTTAGGACCCACCCTCTTTACAATCTATATACATAATGTAGGTAAAAACATCCCTAATGCATCCATACATTTCTATGCTGACGACACAGTTGTTTATTGTCGAGCTAAAACTGTTGCTAAGGCTTTCCAGCTTTTGAAATCTGCATTTAACTACATCCAGACTGATTTGTTTCGCCTCAAACTTGTCCTAAATGCCGAAAAAACCAAAGGGATGCTTTTTTCAAATAGGAAGTTGGTCCCAGCAGTTCTTCCTCCGATTTTATCCTCAAATGGTGTCTGTATTGAGTTTGTTGATTCCTATAAATATTTGTGTATCTTGGTCGACTCACATCTTTCTTTTAAGCTCCATGTGGAAAACTTGGTAAAGAAACTGAAAGTTAAACTGGGTTTCTTTTTCAGAAACAGATCCTGTCTAACACTGAACCCTGAGGAACGCCTTGTATCTGTGACTTTCCTTCCCTCCATTGATCACGGTGACATTATTTACATGAACGCTCCTACAAGAACCCTGCAGATGTTGGATGCTGCAGATGTTGGATGCTGCAGATGTTGGATGCTGCAGATGTTGGATGCTGCAGATGTTGGATGCTGCAGATGTTGGATGCTGTCTATCATGGTGCACTAAGATTCATAACTGGCTGTAACTACCGTACCCACCACTGCACCCAGTATTCACTGGTTAACTGGTCATCATTAACTCCACACAGACTCTCCCACTGGTACATTTTCATCTTTAAATCACTTCCTGGTCTGCTGCCTTCATACATCTCCTCCTACATGTCTCTGTGTGAGTGCAGCTACAGCGTGCGCTCTCAGGACATCATTACCTGCAGTGTTCCCTCAGTGAGGACTGAACTAGACAAAAGGACCTTCTCCTACTCCGCTCCTGTTTCCTGGAATATCTTACAAAAAGACCTGAAGCTCTCGACCTTTGACCTCTCTAAGTGTCTTTAAGAATCTGTTGGACTCCTGGCAGGGTCCAATGCAGACATGTTCCTCTTTTTAGTTTTCTACATTTGTCTTGGAATCTAGCTGTTTTTTGTTTTGTTACCTTTTTCCTTTTAGCCATCCTATTTGTTATAAAAAAAAAAAAAAAAAACTGTAGTATGTTTTTTTATAACTGTTTATTGTTGTTGCTGTTGTCCATTGTTGTCATCTTTCTTTGTTGAAATCAGGTCTCTCTTGTAAATGAGTCCTGAGGCTCAATGGGATTTACCTGTAGAAATAAAGGTTGATTGATTGTGCGTTCATCCAACGAGTCATTTCTGTCTTTCATTAAAATCTGTTCAGTCATCGAAAGAACGACTGATTTTTGTTTGTTTGTTTGTTTGTGTAGTAAATGAAACTACATTAAAAAAGAGATCAAACAAAAACTTTTTCTTCCATAAATCGTGCATCAGTTCTTTTTTAAAGACTAATTCACGGCTGCAGAGTTTTTATTTGGAGCACGTATTTAATATAAAACATTAATTTATTAATAATAATGTGTTATGTATTGTCATCATGTATGTTCTCATACATGTGGTTGGCTTTCTGCATTTGGCCCATCTGCTGCCAGGTGGTGTGGTGGGCGACTGTTGGGGGCACATTTTGGGGATGGGGTGTGCTGCTCAGAGACACCGTGAAATGTGCAATGACTGGAGATTGAACCTGGATTAGATAGAAAGGTACCGTACCTGTACCAGTATATGTATAGACCATTTACCATTTATAGCTGGTTTACTAGATCCAGTTCTGACAAAGACCCCTGGTTCCAGTTCCAGTTTCTTTAACAGGTTTTCAATATGGGGATAATAATCATCAATTAAAATTCTAGGTATCTGTTAGAGTCCAGAAACTCAAGAGGAACACCATGCGTGGAGGAGACAGGAGGAAGAACTGCGAGCAGCAACTTCCTGTTTGAAGACCGGCTCTTCTTGGTTTGATCAGCATTTACTTTGAGATGAAACAAGTCGGGCAGCACGGTGGATCAGCTGCTAGAGATGTTGCCTCTTAGTGAGAAGGTTACCAGATCAAATCCCAGCTCGAGGTCTTTCTGTGTGGAGTCTGCATGTTCTCTCCGTGCTGCGTGGGGCTTCTTCCACAGACCAAAAACGTGCACGTTAGACTGACTGGTAACTCTGGATTGTCCCTAGGGGAGAGAGAGAATAGATGTTTGTCTCGTTTGTCCCTGTGACGGACTGTAGACCTGTCCAGGTGTCCCTGTGATGGACTGGAGACCTGTCCAGGTG